GGTGTGATTGTTACCTGGGTATGTTGGTAGCTGGGAGCTGAGCATGGCTTGGCTTTTAGGAGACCAGATGTGAGCACTGACTTCAGTTTTGTCTCTGCCTGCTCAGTGAGGTGGGTCTCCAGAACAAACCTGGAGCTTGCTTACCTCTGCTCCCTTTTCTTTTCCCGTGTTCAGAGCACCCGTTATGCTCTGTCTCCCCGTATTTCTGTCTGCATCAATCTGCAGCAGCTGAGCTGTGAGATGTTGACCAAAGAGCAGCTGGGGTGACTTACCAGCTGTGCCGGTGCAGCTAGGCGAGATCAGTGTGTTCCTCCAAGCATCACCCTGGGTGATTATTCCTGTGGTGGGAATGTCACTGGGAGCCCTGTAGTGTGCTGCTGCACAGGTCCTGCTGGGTCTAGCCTGTGCCTCTGGAAGAGCTGGGAAGAACCACAGCTGTGCTTTGAGAAGGGTCAGTGGGTTACGGCCAGCCAGACGAACAAAAGTACAGGTAGCAGGAGAATGTGATGTCCCACTTGAGGCAAGCGCGGGAGGTGGTGTGTCGGCTGGGCCGCAGTTGCCAGGAAGCAACTTCTCCTCTGTTTGGCTGAGAACAAGTATTACTGCTGTGTCTCAGAGCCACAGGGCTGCTGTAGTCAGTGACAAGTTGGCATTGCTCTAGGAGAAAGACTGGAGGCCACCAAAGATTGAGAGCATGAGTACTAGAGAGGATCACCCTGGTGCCTTCTGGCTCACGTAGGCAGAAATGAAGGATCCTCTTCCAGTCCTGTTCATCTTCTCCTTGCCCTTTGTGAGTGGCTGCTGCTGGCTCTTTCTGCAGATTCAACATGACTGCTGAGGAACTGAGGGTTTGGGCTACCTGCTGGGAACGAAGAGGGTGGGCAGAGCAAAGCTGGTGTCGGGAGTTATCCTTGCCCTGTGTGAAGAACCTGGCCTGTAAACCGGGCAGTTGGACCTAGAAGTGCCAACGGAGGCTGTGCCGGCTGCTGCTGATCATGGGTGGGATTTGTTAGGCAGAAACGTGGTGGATGTCAGCTGTCTTCTGCTGGTGTTGCAGTGGCAGCAGGCTGAGACATTAAAATGGCGTTGTAAGGCCAAGATATTAAATCTGCTTAAAATGAACAGGCTGCTCATGGCAACGCAGGCTCCTCGCCTCTGTCTTTTTGCCAGTGACACCTAAAGGTCCCTGGCAGAGGTGGATTCTTCCCTGTTTTCCTGAGTTTCCTAAGCTGGGCTGGTGTGGTACCATACCATATGTATATACATGTGGTGCTATACTCAGAAGCAGCACAGTCAGGGTCTCCTTTTCTGGGCCTTGCTGATTTTTCTTATTTTTTCCCCTTCCTGGCTGTTCCCTTTGCACCCAGGAGGATCATGGAGGTGAGGTGGATGACAATGATGACCTGGAACTTGTCCAAGACCAGAAAGACCACGCAGGCATACAGGGAGCTGATGGCAAGAAGGATGACTACTACTGAAAAAGATGCTGAAGGCAAATGGAGTACGCTAGGAACGAGGGGACGGGAACTCCTCCTGGGAACTGGCTCCTGTATTAAACACTGCCCAGAACAGACAAAGGCAGGAGGCGGTAGCTGCCTCCGCAGGCACTGAGCAGGGTGCTGGTGGATGTGCGTCACACCTACGTGTGTGGGGCCATTGCTGCCCCTCCAGTCAGTAGCATGGAAGTGCTCTCAGACTGTAGGAACGATTTTTATCCTGCTGCTTCTCTTAGAAGCACTTTTTTGATTTATTGTGTCCTTCATCTTCTTGTTTTCCCTATCCCCTCCCAAGCTGGAGAGTTTGGGTTGGGTTTTTTTTAACCCTCTGGGCAGCAGAGGGGTGCCTGGACTTACTCGACTGATTGCTAATACAAAGGAATCTGTCTTCATAAAATATTTTGCTCAGTAGTGTTTCTTTAAAACACCTTTTGCTCCCATCAGAGTAAGGTGGAGAGGAAGTTAGCCTGCTTTTTGTCTGGAGTAATGCAAGGGTGATGGCTAACCATGAGCACCAACAGAAATGACCGTGTGCCAGCCAGTGTGTGCTTGAGCACGTGTGTGTATATGAACAACTGGATCCTCTTCCTGGTGCAGGGACCCTTCCCAGTGACTCAAGGTAGAACCCTGTGGAGTTCTCCTTTCCTTGGCTTTGAGCTGTAACTGTCCTGCCGGGCTCGGAGCCTCCCCACTCAGTGCTGGGCATCTTGTCTTGATGTTGCTGCTGCACGCTGGGTTCCTGGAGATGTGGGCTGGCCTGAGCTGGTGGCAGGGACTGCTGCACAATCACAACCCTGCAGGAACCTCCGCAGGTCTGCGGTGGATGAAGCAC